AATATCACGAAGTCACAAGGCAGGTCACACCGGGCACAAAACACATCCAACCCTTCAGCCACTGCTTCGAGTAGCAGACGCCGGATTGAGCAGTACTAGTAATGCTTCTTAAATATCATCGGTACCTCCGAACATCTAACACTACAGCTATGCATAATGCAAAAATTCAACTCTATCATGTCACAAGATGGGCAAAATATACGTGCCTCGTATTGAGGTCCCATCGGCTACCATTGTGGCCGCGGCTTTAAGCCCCCCGAAGTCTTAGACCCCAGCGAAAAACACGCGAGAGAAATGAGGAGCAGGGTAGCTTCGCACACCCACGACTGAAGGAAGGCTTTCCCGCGCGCCACCTCCCGACCCTCGTCGCGTCCCCTCGTGACGCCTGCGTCCCCGGAGGTGTTCCCATGTCCCGCACGCTTCCCTGGCTTCCTCCCCCAGCGGCGACCGGTAGCGAGGTCCAGGGCAGCCCATCTCCGGCCAAGGCCGAGGCGTCCTGCACGCTCTCGTCGGCTCTCACCCTGCTGCAGCCCGCGCAGGGCGCCGTCCCGGGCTACGGCTCCAGCTTCTCGCAGTTCTCGGCCGCGCCAGGCAAGTGACGCCGCTGCGGTCGAGCACCCGCTTCGTCCGGGGCACTGTCCATACAACCGTGGCCTCGAGTCGGAACTATTATAGAAGAGGAGGCCCGCGCCCTTCTACCCCATACGTCATCGCTAGTTGGTCAACGCAGCGTCGCCTAGCCCGCGTATAAGCAACGCCGCTGGCGCGCGTCTCACAATGAGCGTGACGCTCGCACAAAAGTACCTGGAACGCGTCTTGAACTTTTGCGTTTGCCGCTTGGGACGGCCCGCGATCCACTAGCAATGACGTCGTCCGCGGGCCTTTTATTCTAGGTGCTGTTGGTTGAGCGCGAACGCGACGAGACATTTGTAATGAGGCGCGTATCGACGCCCCCGGGTTAGCGGTTGTACACTGTCAAGGAATCCGAAGGTGGCCGGCACACTCGCTTCGTGTTTGAGATCCACGTTTTATAAGCCCATAGACTGCGTCCAGTTTACGACGGCAGTAAAAGGGCAACCCCATACGGCCACTGTTCAAACCGTAAAAAAGAAAAAAAAAACTTGCGAGTTGAGAGTTTGGCTTGTGCAGCTTAAAAGTTTGACTGTTTTATCCCGCTCATACTGTTCATGGTTGTATCGCACCGGCAAATGGAGTCTCTATAGTGCAGACACTAGTCGACAGATTTCGAGGCTGATGAACTCTTTTAATAAATATATACTTTTATTAAATTGCTCGAACGTGTTGGTCGACATGCGAAGGATTAGCCGAAGAGAGTATACAGTAGGCAACATCTGAACTTTCGATCTAATTTTTGTAGTGTAACCGCTGCACCTGGGGAATACTGAAGACAGCCTCCCCAGTTGGACAGCAGCTCATGGTTGCTCTTATTCTGCGGCATGCATTCTGCAGGGCTTTGCACCAAGCCCATTTCTTAAAAGACGCAAATAATTTCACGCGTGTGATTCCTCGTTCCGCGGTGTAGTTTGTGCTAGAGATTCAAATAATGGCTACAAGAGGTTGATTTTTTTCCTGAATTTCACAATTATTGTGATCGTAAACGAGACACGTAGGTGCTTCCCGGCGATATTTGTAGACCAACTCAACGTTATAATATTGAATTTCGTTAAGTTTTATCTTTTACCTTCATTAACACTTTGTACGAATATACAGGTTTTCCAACAAGGCTTCATGTGACCAATATGAGCATGCCTGCCCCCTTTCTTCTAACGCTCACACGTTATGCAATTAAAATTCTTATGAAAACACTTTTTTTTTCTTTTCTTAAAGATAAAATGATACGCAAAATTGAAAGTACCATACATCGTGAGATTTACTTTGGATATTTAAAAAAACACAATGTAAAAAAACTACAAATGATTGTAAAAAAATAGGCCTCGGGATAACTTGACGTAGTTAACAGCAAAAATATTGACCGATTCAAAATTTTACTGTTCAACTTGATGATACAAAAGCAAAACAAAATACCTTAGTTAAATAGATTTTTATATTGCTGGTATTAACGCCACGAGCAAACGTTACAACGACGAACTTCGTTTATCACACAGGAAAAAATAAATGTATCGGGAAAAAGTGGCTACTACGTGTTGTCGGCAACATCTATTTAGTACAATATCTGAGAGCACGGTCAGAAACACAGCCCATAGCCATTCATATTGCCTGAACGTTGGGCCAGAGGCCGTTGTAACCTAACTTAAACATAAAAAAGGAACAGCTAGGGATCGTTATGTTCAATGGAAACATACGTAGCAGATACAAGAAAGCCGTAACTGAAAGTGAAAAAAAAAACAGTACAGGAACACAAATTCAGAGGGAAGGAAGGAGAGAGAAAAAGACACCGGGCGAGGCATAATTATGCAAATTCAGAGTCGGACGTCGCGAACGCGCGAACTGGCCGATAAGCATCGCGCCGACGTCGCTCCCACGCATGTTTGCCGTGGGCCGGCGTGCGGTACCGGCGACATGTCAAACACCGAGGCCATGTTTGCCGAGTGGCGACCCGCTGGGCGGCGGGCGAGGCGTGTGCCGCTCTTGTCCCACCGACCCTCCGTGTCACCGTGCCCCCGCGGGCCTCACCCGTCGGACACGCAATATCGACGAAGCCCCAAACCTCGCTGCTGTGCGGCGCGCGCTGACGGCACCAACTCCATTTTTGGTGGACGCAGTGGAGAACAAAAAGATTCTGCGATCTTATCGCACGATAGAATCGAGAGTAACAAACCAAGGGAAGTGTGTACGGCTCTTCGTTTGCATACTTTAACACATGCGGACGTCACCGACGTTCCCGCGGCAGCGAAATCGGAAGCTGTGGCGTGTCCAAAATGCTTGGAACGTAAAAAAATTAAGAAAACAAAAAATTGTGCAAATGTGTTATTATGAACTGTATAAAGCGTGAGGTTAGAGTCGGTTAGAAATCAGGCTTTTTTAATTTCGGTGTCGATTTGTTAATTTGGCGTTTTATTAATCAATAAGACGACTGAAGGCGCAGGTGTGCTGGTGAATATTAGGTAACATAGCAAAACCGGAGACACGGAAACAAAAAGGGACGTGCATAACACCGAGGCGGTGTTGTGTAAGGTACGTACTTTTTTCGTTTACGTGTCTCCGGTTTTATTATGTTGCCTCGTTAATCTAATCTAGTCTGCAATTTTAGTGAGAGTCTCATGGTCGACTTTGGGTACGGGTGTTTTTGGATCGTACAGAGTATGTGATTACGCGAAACGCTGATAACATGGGCATTTGTGTCCCTAGTCGTCGCACGTTTAATTTTATCTTGATGCCGTATATCCTATCCGAAGCGGTGTAGCAACACTGGGACTGCAAATGGTTGCGTGATTTTAATTTATCCTGTGTGAAGCGCGAGAGATAACTTCAGATATTCGCGCACGAATGTGCAAATATGTGAAGTTATCTTCTACGCCCTAAATAGAACTGCTCCCGATTCTTGTAATCAGTGCTTTAATATCACAGGAACTCAAAACAAGTGAGTAATCCCGACAAAATGTAAAACGTCTGGCTCAATAATTGCTGTAACTGGATGTAAAAATACGCATACGTGAAGGCATTATCTTGAATATTTTGCGTGGATATTTTTTTTAATAAAGAACACTTTATGAGTGAACTGAAAAAAAGATTAATACACCAGCAATCAATAAATTAACAAAGTTACGTATCCGTTTCCCACACTCCATAAATATTTACTTATTTATCGAGCAATATTGAAATTTAATTTTATCTCGGTGCCTCATATATGCTATAAAAATTGCATGCCTCACGCGTCCTGCATCGTTATTACTGAAATAGCATCGTTCAGCAGCAATATCACTAGAATCGCGTACATTGAAAATGTAATTTGTTTCTATACTTCTGCATAGTTTTAGCAGATGTTCGTATGGAACTCATACCAAGGTGTAAAAGAAATGTTGAGAAAACGCTAAAAAAAGTTTTGCTTAAAATCAAGAAAAACGTGGTTCATAAAATAAGATGAAAAAAAAAACTGTAAAACAGCAATAAAAAAAATAACGAATGGCGTACGATCATTACTAATAGAAAGTACTTTCAAAATTAAGACATCCTCATCTGGACATCCAACGCAACACTTCACAAGCATGCTGTAACACTTTCAGAAGTTACGTATTTCAAATGAATGCCTTTGCCTTTGCCTTTATGAAACGTGTTCATCTGTGATTTCCAAAAAGAAAATGCTTTTATTGACGAGGGCTTTGATATGCTTCACTCAAAGATGAATACATCACTCTTTCTGAAAACTAACGTTTCATACTTTCTTCCTCGTTCCTGAGAATTAATGTTTGTCTTCAGGAATCAACTCCGCCAACTAGTTGATGCGCGATTCCCGAGTTTCGCAGTAACCATAACATTGCTAATGCTTGACATTACGATAACGGTTATTTATATAGGACTCCTAGATACCTAATAAACCAAGGAGTCATCCGATATCGATGCCTCGGATTTTCAGTTACGGTCTATTCAAGAAAAGGAAATTCAACGAAATGGTCGTAAGCCTAGTAAGTAACGCGATGCTTGACGTTACTTCGGTCTCTTATTATTTTAGTGATGGGCTCGGATGTTAGCCTGCAAATCACCTGCGCCCATTTTTACTTCGAACTATGCGCACCTGTATTATGTTGGGTACTGTACGCCCTCGCTTCCACAACATCGGTGTTCTTTATTTTTTCTCTTGTTTTATTTTGAAGTCTATAGTTCTAGTTTTAAGGTACACATTTTACCGCTGAAACTCCACACGAACACATGTCCCTGTAGTAGCGCCCCTATACACTGTATCGCGGTCTCTACACGTTGGATGTTAGCCGTACGAAGAGCAAAAACATTCGGGGGCCCGCCCCTCCTTGATGACGGTCTGACGACGTCTGGCTAACGAGCCGTGGCCTTTTCGCTTGCAGTGACGGGCAGCGCGGTGGCCAGCTCGGCCGTGGCAGGCATCCCAGGTGCGGACTACGCCTACCCGTCCCCGTATACGCAGTACTCTTCAGCAGCAGCCTACGGGGCCTACGGCTACGGCTCCAGCGGAATCATCAGTGAGTGAAAAACCTCTTGGATCCGAGAAAATGTCCGGTGTCAAAAGTTTCCTATTGCCCTGAAGCGCCATACTCGTTCAGATCTCAAACAAAGTATCGTTATTATTAACGCTATATTATCAGGCGGATTTTATGTTGTACCATAATTTTGACTAAAATATAGAAGATGAAAATTAAAAAATACAGCCAGAAAAAAAAGTTTCGGAATATTATTAAGTGCCGGTCAGCTCGGCCAACATGGGGAGACTTAAATTCCACACCCGTTATATGTATTACTATTTACTAACTACCTGGACGAGACAGAATTAATCTCCCTCCTCTGAAGAAAAAGGCAACAAAGAGAGAAATGGTGACAACAGCCTTTCCGACAGACTGACTCATGAATTCTACTCCATGTGGTCGAGCTAAATCAGAAAACTACCCTGTTTCGCCTACATCGGACTTCCTTAATCACAATCTAGGCGACTGGAACCTATTCAAACCAGCCTTGCCGATGGCTATGCCCATCACAGACCCCCTGCCTGCAAATAAGACTTCGACGGTTAGAGAAAAACGAGGAAAACCCCACCCTTCCACCCTCTTCTTCTCCCCTTTTCCCCCCTTTACTTCCCAAGAACCCTTCCCCTCCGACTGTGACATGGGTGTCTAAGTACGCCCCAACAACAGTCGTTCCCCCCCCCTCCCCCCCCCCCAAAAAAAGAAGAAAAAAAAATGCATACTACTACTACTACTACTACGTCACTTGAGAGTATAAGCTTATTATCGGTGCACATCAGAACATCAACACCAGACTCCTAGTTCTGTTTTTGTTTTACATTGGGCCTAAAACGCACCTCATTGCTGTATCCAGCTCATAATCCAGGCCAAGCAGGCTCACGGGTATCAGAGATATGATCTTGAGCAGCCACATATGCGTCTTATAAGTAGTTATTTAGGGGGAATCGGGGCATTCCAAAGGGCGCCGAATACCTACAAAAGTGACACAAGTTCACGCCGGCGCCATTTGTTTTGCTGCGCAGACCCGTCCTACTACTACGCCCACAGCGCCAGGACCGGATCGGCGGGCACAGGGCTCAGCAGCGCGGGCCCGCTCAGCCCGAACAGTTACAAGGGCGACCGATGCTGACGTCACCGGGTCCCCTAAGCACCGTCCCGCTTTCAAGAACCCCTGGCTCCCTGGCGCCGCAGGAAGCACGCCAAGACGCGGCCACGAAGTCATCTTCGACGCCTCGAAAACGAACCTTACCTTCAAGTGCGGTGCGGCAACGGACAGTGGAGCCAACGGTCCGTCACAACGTTGGCCAGGACCAGTCCCGAGGACACTCCTCGCAGAAACCAAAGATCTTGTGTCCGCCTTGTGGACTTCATGGACACTGAACGACTCTTGTGGGCCCCTCGTGGCGAGGGCAACGATCGAAGCGTCGTGCCGCGAGTGCGAACCGTGTGACGGAAAATGGTTGCTGTTGTGGGAATCTCTGGATGGAGGCTCGGTTAGGTTTTTTTGTTGTTTTCATTGAAGTTTGCACACTCGCCCACAAGGCTCCCTTGAAGATCCGAGTCAGGGAACGGGTGGAACGTGTTGGTGCTTGCTGTAGCACGCGCGATTCGGCTTTTGGCGTATCTTGACTTCTCTTATTCAGGTTGTGCTCTGTTCTACTTCATTCCTTTATATGACGTATTGCATTTTTTTTTCGATTTTGCGAACAAGTTTTTGAGATTGCTGACGAAACTTAGGACCGGTTGCTTTCTGTGATACCTTTTTCGTATTCCTACTTAAAAAGCAGCGTGTGCTATGGCCAGCTTAACGTTACGATCTCCCTCACTTACCAGTTACTCCAAGATTTATCAAATGATCAGATTTAAGTTGACGCAGTATTACGATTTCTTACATTTTTTGTGCCCCATCCAGCGACTTCTCACACAGCCGTCAAGAGAAACAAAATGCGGTGAACGCGAAATGTATGCACGAAACCGCGCAGTTTGCGAACCTGGTTGCGACTTTTCACAACCACAAAAAACGACGCGACCTATCGGTTTTAATATTGTAGAGGAACAAACAGAAATTATATTATAAAAGGAAACCAGACATGCGATTTCCATTCTCGTAGAAACTCCGATCAACGCGAATATCGCGTGATACACTACCCATAGAATAGATTTTTTTGTGTATATTTATGTGCAGAGGTTTTTGATTTTTTGACTTTGTATAGAGCGATGCCCGTGGTTGCCGTGCAGTCACCCAAACGATCCAGATGGTCTCATGACAACATTTGCTCAAGGTTTCTTTTTATATGAGTCCACTTAGAGATTTTCGTGGAAACTGCGGATTCATTGAGCTGTTAAGACATCGCGAAAATTCAATTCCGACACGAAGGAGGTGTAAAACATTGACGCTATGCTTTTTTTTTTATGACACACCCGACCATTCTTGCGGATTTTAAGCGTTTTACATTATGAGTTGTAAGCGTAGAAGATAGCGCAGTTCATTGTATAGTTCACACTGTTCACCTTCGCGTTGCATGCTATCGTGCGTGCGTGACGTGCTACTAATTTATATTATAAGAAATTGGAACAAAAGAGACAAACCGGGCAATGTCCGGTGGAGAGCCAACCTTCAAAGTCTCCGAGACGGCGAACGTCGCCCCGTGTACATTATTTGTTTGTATTTTTTTTTCTTCTTCGGCGTGAGTGTGCGAGTATGCGAAAGTTTGATTGTGTTGATGCGAAAAAGATATAAAACAGAGAGAAAAAGAAAGGATAGCTTAGTAACCGCGGTTTCAAGACGACGATCCACAAATGTGAAACTCGTGAATTTGGAGGAACCCAAATGTAACGGAGGAGTAATCTTTTTTACTTCTAAATTTATCTTCCAAATGTTGTTTCGTGTTCGATCGTTTTGGAATTCAAAATAAAAACTCTAGTATGCTTTCTTTAAATATTTTGGGGTGCTTTCAGAGAAAGGGTTGAATTCAGAGAGATTTGAAAACTGGGGTTCACCACGTTCTGTTGCATTTGGGTTTCTATTTGAGCACACCATTTTTGTTTTCTTGCGTGTTTTCTGTCTTTAGCCTATTTATTTTCCGTCTTCTCACAAGGACACACGTGTTTTGTTTTCAGTGAGTTACAAGTCGCATAGGTTATGTGACAGTTACATTTGTAATTGTACATTTATTTTAAGAGTTCTGAAAAACAAGCCTTTGTTTAATGCTTATTTTTTAGTTTAAAAGAACCACCGCTGTCTCTTCTGTTTTTGCACCTTAAGACATCACTTTTTCGTTTTTGATGTGTTTGTTCTAGAGCTGCACCCTGTGATGAGAGACACCCTGTAAATAAAGGCCACTGATAGTCTTAACGTTAGAGCAGGAATATTTGGCGAGCCTAAGAATGGAAAAGGATCGCACGGACCTAGATTATCTTAAAATGCTTGCCGACGTATTTCTGATAAGAGAGAGATTAACGAGCTACGATTAATTTATACACACGCCTTCACATCGTGGTTTTCTAATGTTGCTGTTCGTTTCAAAGACAGCGTACAATCACGTCTCGGTTTCCAAGGGTCTGAATTTTCGCTGTTCTTTTGTTGTCTGAAAATCTGTTTTTTTAATTTCAGCCATCCTGTTCCCGAATTTTAGTATATCGCGTGATATTTTAATTCTACATAAAAAAATATCAGTTAAAAAAGAAACGTAGCCAAAGAACAAAGGATGTAACGTAATTCCAATCAAAAGTTTGCACAAAACCCCTAAGCTCTGGTTTACGTGTCAGCCGGAGGTACTTTATCGCTCATAAGATAAGAAAGTGAAATGTGCAAAGCGTATTTTCTTAGATAACACTCGCACTCAACGGTAGATGACATTGCATAACTCTGGTATAATATCAGGCAAATTAAATAGTAGCCATATTTGTCATTGTTATCACTTTGCTAACATCAAATCGTGTAAATATCTTGTATTTTTAAATTTGGTACACAGCATTCTCTACAGGATGCTAAAGTACAAGCATGCTGTGGAATACCCACACACGGCAGTATAATAATAAGGCTGAAAATGAAATTGAACACGCACAAGCCAGGCCTTAGCATAACCAAAAACTCTTTGGTAAAAATAAGAAAAAAAACTCAATAAATAAATGCATTCCAAAGTTCCAAATGTATTATATAAAAATTAGATCAAGCCAAAGACCGAAGAACATTGTAATTTTAACCCACAGCAGGTGAACAACTGATTTGTTATAATATACTGTATAATTTTCTTACGTAATACCGCGCAAGACATAGACAAACCACGATGTGAAGTTTCTTTTATGAGTAGCGAGCCATCGCTTATAACTTAGCCTTGCATCGGGTATAAAGCTAGACTCTTAAAAGGTTCGCAAGGAACAATTGCCAGACTTACGGGGCAGCGAGACTCTGCGACTGCCTCTTGGTTGTATCTGAGAGAATGCTTGAATCATGAGTGTATGGCAGCGTGCGTGCGACACAAACCCTGCAGTGACTGTGAGAAATAAAACTCACCGAGTACATACACATACCACAAGGCGTGCCCAGTGGGCACAGCGTCGTGTGTTTCTTGATACCGTCCTTCGCCAGCGTTCAGAGGGAAGTTGAAAGACTTGGCTTACAGAATTAAAAAAAAAAATTCGATGTGATCAATTGTGAAGTGAACAAGCCTCGCTTCTCTGGGCCCTGCAATTTTTCCTTTATTTGCTTACGCGAATAAGGGTAAGAAAATCTGGGCGATAGCTAAAGGTAAATGCGTGAACCACTGAGGCGTTATCCTAGCCTCGGTCCACCCACCCTCCTCTCTTTTCCCCCGTAAACAGGCGATGTGATATCCACGAAGTGCCGAAAACACGTAAGTGCCGAAAATGACCTGTTGACTTACTACTCTCCATGAACGGCTGAATACGCAACCGGGGTGGTTTGTCTAACCCAAACAAATGAGCCAAATAAGCCAAAGAATTCACACCATTTTACGGTTAATAAAAAATGCATACAGTACTTACCACGCAATGATTTCCACCACAAAAAAAAAAAAAAAGAAACGCTAGTTTCAATAAACTACTGCATACATTGCATCACTCGACTGCTGGTCCTCAAAAAAGATATATAATTATATTTTACAGTTGGAGGAAATGAAGTTTGCAGCCTGAAGTGTGGAGCACAAAGTCATTTTTCTTAAGAACGCTACCAGGTTGTACAAGCGCACGCTTGATTGAAACCCCAATCGCATCCAGAATCCCTCTAACCCCGAATTAGGAATGTAGTGTCAATGCGCACGTCGTCCACCAATCTAATAAAAGGGCAAAACACTTGGTTTCGCTGGGCCCTATTTCTTTTCGGCTTAAAAAAAAATCGACGCCGTTGACTGGCGTCCATTTGTTTTAAGGCGAAAAGATGTAAGGCGTAGCCAGCATCCTTCTTACGCCATCCTTCGACTTGAAGGTCACTGTCCATACGTGATTCATTTGGTGCGCGCCTATGATGGTGCCCTCGGCGAACAACGACAGTTTAACCAGCGCAACTCGAAAATCGTCGACGCGGTAGGGCTGCCCTTTGACACCGCCATGCAAGAAAGTGTTTAGGACGACTGACCCAGTTGACAATGCCGGCAAAACAACAGCGTAAGCCTGTGCGTCATCCTCGGACCTGATGCCGCGGTCCAGCTGGGCCTCCGAAACTGCTCCGCGGGAGCCAGACATCCCACGTCCGTTCACTGCGGTGGCCGGAAGAGGGAATCCCAGGCCACACAGACACGCTTGCACGGCTTTGGAACGACCGGAGATTTATATCTAGCTATCGCGTTCCACTCTTAAAGGTGAAGCTTAAGCTTCCTTCTGTAATTTTTATTCACACATATATAGTAAGTAGTTACGTAGGATCGAACATTGATCACCAGAATGCCCTTAACGTTCAGAATAGTTAGCACCAAAAGTTGGTAATTGGTGTTGCTGACGTTCTTCACACTGACCATAGGTAGTATGGCCTAATGTCGCGTTCACACCTATACTCGGGGACAACTTTTTCTGGGATTTCAGAAGTGAAGACCGCGCGAGCTTAGCCGTGATCGGCTCTCAATGTGCACGAGTGCACGGGTACCCATAGCTTTGACTTCATTGCCAAAAAAAGTTGTTTCCAAATATAGTCCGTTCACTGCTTTCCAAAAATATAGACGCTTTAGAGCAGCTGTGCTTGAGCGCCGCCATAACCAACTTTCAGTTTTGGTTTCCTCTTATTGCGTTTACTTCACTTCGTCATTACCATAGCAGGAGGTCATTGACATTCTACATTCTACTCAGTGGCGTACCAACCTGTTTTTAAGTGGGGGGGGCAAACCAGACCCCCCCCCCTCCCCGGTTTGGGGGTGGTGCCCGTGGTATCTCTCGGGCGACGACGGACAGTATTTGCCCTGCCCAGTGGCAGCTGTTTCAGGGGGGGGGGGGGGGGGGGGGCAAAACACATGCCTTGCCCCCCCCCCCCCCCCCCCCTCTGAGAGCTGGGGGGGGAGGGAGCGCCCCCCCCCCCCTTGCCCCACCGGTTGGTACGCCCATGATTTCTACTGTGCCCTTCTCTTCAGCACTGGTATTTGCAGAGGCTCGTCAACGCCCGTTTCAGTGGCTCGGTATCTCGGTAAGATAAAAGGTCAGCAATGGCAGCTGTCGTATGGCGTGTGTATAAAGCTTCTATAGACAAGAGACAATCTCGGAGTTCATAACACTTTCCATGACGTGAAGCAGCAATATTTTAAGTTGTTAAGAGGGTATTTATTTTGTGATTGATACGAGTCTTCTACAGACATGTCTTTTCATCGGCCATTATTCAATGGCCACTCCAACCAATATGTTTCTGCATTCCTTATGCGCAATAAGAACAACTTAATCAAACAAAACCGTCAATCGTGAATTGTACTCCAAGAAACGGAGGCTAGTTAAAAAGAAAAATTCAGCTTAACAAACGTTGGAATGAAAGGAGTCCCACTACTTTCACGCTTCGAAACCAATAAAAAGTACATATTGTACATACATTTTTATATTCAAACTAAAACAACTTTAAACCTTTTTTTATATATTATTCTTTAAATTTTACACAGGAGCAACTGTTCAACACTCGTCACCTGGCATGAATTTCATGACTTTAGTTTAGGTCTCGTATATCTCCAAATGAAAGAAGGCCTGCCGCCGATCGTTCCGACTTTAAAGGGACCATGAAATGACTTTTTTACTTTTTCCAGATAACTTTTACATTAAACCGTCAATGGTCACTGAATGCCGAACAGGCATCCGTTTTCGTCTCGGTTAATTAACTTCTACACAAAAAATTAACGAAATATCGACTTTTTCTTGACCGCAAAAGAAGCCGTGACGTACGCTGCTTCCGGAACCGGAAGTTCTCTCGGCGGTAGGAGATGGGAGCGTTAGCGGCGACGAGTTGGGGTGCGCCGGTAGGTTTTACTGCGCCGATGTCACCGACGTATTTTCTGAATCGGCGCCTCTCATCGCCGCATCGCAGCTGAGCGAAATTCAATGAGATACGTTGCGCTACAGCGACAGCATGGGACTAGTCCCATACACCGGTATGCCTGTTGGGAAATGCAGCGAGTCTTCCGGTGAAGACTTCAGAAGTCAACCCAACTGTCATTGTTGGTAAAAGGCGGCCAGCGTCAGTCGTTTGCAAAGCGACGTAGATGGAAACAAATTGCCGCGGCGTTTTTCACGGTCTCGGAGATGCAGGAGCGAGCCGACGTTAAAAAAGATACGTTTGAACTACGAGTGTCAGCAAGAGCCACGTAAATACCTGTTCACACTCGGAGCGGACGCGCGCGTTTGATGGAAGTGCTGTATTCGCGCTGTTGGTAAGCGCTTCGGGACCGATCTTTTACGATTGCAACTCGATACTGACGCGACACTCGGCAAAGAAAGGTTGGACCGGTATTGCACGTATACCTCCCACGAACTGTTACAGCTCGACAGTGACGTGCAGTCTGTCAGAATAAAAATGGCATACCAATAACAAAGAGTACATACCGTGTTACGAAGGTAATCCATACAGCGTTTATTTCAACTCTATATCACACAAAACAAGAAGAGAGAATCGACGAGGGTCTCTTTTCGACGAGTGTTCGTCAACACTGCCTCGGAAAACAAGGGGAAGAGATTGACCTCACCTCTTAATCAAATTGAGGTCAGCGATCAAACTATATTACGGGAAGGGTCCACAAGGGTAGCACGGGCATATTCCATTCAGCACGCCAGCCGGTCGTAGGCAGGCAGACGGTCTTGCGACGAAGCAACGCTGCGCCGAGTCGGAGAGCCTGCTAGGCCTATATTCTGAGAGCTTCGTCGGAGCGGGATTCGCGGCTGTTGTCGCTCTTCTCGGGTGTTTGTGGATCCAGCGTTCTTGTTCGTCGTGGTCTGTTTTAAGTACATTTTTTTTTCTTGCTGCTTGAAGTCGGCACGCGCGAGATGAACACATAGAAAAATAAACGTTCAGTCAGTCAGAGTTTTGAGAGGAAGGAAACCAAAGGAAATAACCGTTCTAAGTCGGCCCTGCCCTACTGCGCACGCGCAGTAGTTGCTTCGTTTACCACACGATAGATGGCGCTTGGCTCTCAGCATTATCAAATTTGGCAATTTTCGCCACACATCTCTAATTATGCTACAAAATGTGGATCTGAATATTATTTAACAAAACTTTTAGGAAACATTCGCCGGCTATTTATTGTTTACGATCGCGGTGCTGGTGAGGTAGGCTCTTACCCAATAGGCGACCTGGATTTGGCTGACGTGCTCCATTTCCGCGCATGCATCGTAGTGAACAGGCGAAGGAAGGAAGGCGCAAAAGAGTCCAGTTTTCTTTTAAAAGTTCTATAGCAAATAATTTTTTTTGGCTCCCTAGTTTTGTGTTTCTTTTCACACCTTTTACGACGTGCGGTGGATGAAATTCGATTTTAAAATCATTTCATGGTCCCTTTAACGATCACTTTTACGGTTTTTGCAAGCTGTTTCACGGTGATCATCCAACCACCGAGTACACACACAACACACACCACGGAAAATATATTTTCAGTGCCAGGAAGGACCGAGGATTCTCGGGCGGAAAACTCATGCCATTGTTCCAACCGAGCCGCGTGGTGTGACATGCAAAGCAGCGACCAGATGCCGGTTGTGCTGCACATCGCTTTTCCTCTGTTTAGCGTATCACATTGCCGCGTAATATTACTTCTCTTGGTGTTCATGAGCCTCCGTCACATACGTCGTGAACCTATACACAAGCAAAGCCGAACACTTTCTTTGCGTTTCTAAGACTGGCCACCAGGGTTGCGACGCCGTAGCTGGAAGTTCACCATCATGCAACGCTCCAGAGGAGCCGAACGCCTGCTTGCTCTCGAGGTGAAAACGCGTATAGACGCTTTGCAGCAGCTCTGCGTGGCCGCCGCCATAACCGACCTTCAATGTTTGTTTTCACTTATTACGTTTACTTTACTCCATCGTGACCACAGCAGGGCACATCAGTGCCATTTTAGATTCTACTGTGTCC